TATCGGTTAATCCGTGAGATTGTTGAAGAAATCACGCAAGATACATAGTACCAACTGTGTATGCGTGTTAGTCTATCGGGTCTGTGTCAGTGCGTGTAATTTACTGGTGAAACCAGACAACACGTGACCACATGGTGTCAGCTGCGGGACCAAAGGACGAGTGATGCTATATCCCGTTCTCGCCCGAATTAATCAGACCAGACGGTATACTGTCTAGCCACTGGCTGGGATGTCGAGAAGACAAATCTCTCTAGAGGTTTGTGTGATGCACACTGGTGACGATTCCCAACAAGAAAGTGCTTCCGGATTCTCAACATATCGAGAAACCTCTATTACAACTGAACCATGATACCAGTGAAGGGAAGAAGGCCTTCGTTACGGCGTTCCTTATTAAAGAAACACCAACGGAACAGTTACACACTATTGGACGGAAGAGCAAAACTCTTATATGCATCTTGTTTACAAAACGGAATATCCACCTTCTCCTCGAACGCATCTTCCTGAACTTTCCTGGATATTCACTGACTGTCACTCAAATGAAAGTAAATGCTACAAAGCGACTCCACAGATTCTGTAAGAGATCTCACTTTTCAAAAGACGCGAAGCGGATTCACGAGAAAACATACTACTCGCATGCCTCATCAGTAGCATCCACCGTTACACCAGTATTCGCAAGCGATTCGTGTCACTGATATGTCATTTTGCCATAGTTATTTTGCTGTGGTGTACCCGATTCTCGTGACAGCAACACTGTGGTTTGAAACCGAACACTATTCACGTAATTGTACAGCGTAAATCTCGCCCAGTGTTCAGTGCAACCACAGTACTGTCACAGTGGCTCACGTTGGGCTGCTTAACCAACCAACTGTACGCGTGCTACACGTTAGTTAGCATGGAAGAAAGGTAAAGCCATCAAGGTTTACATCAGCACAAGGTGTGGAAGCTTTGACGTTCCGAAAATGCATTCCTTAGCCACTGAACTGAACAAGAGTAGTTGCGACCAATCGATCCCTTTTTGAAATTGATAATGGGATAAAAGCTCAATTGCGTTTTAGGAAAAACTTTTTTCAGAAGCTGTTTGGATACTTGTCATTTCTTTCCCTTCAGCAAACGTTATCACCATGATGGTCTTGCAAATGTGTGAAAATAAATCAGTGATTCATCAAGTTTCCGTCTAAAAGTTCGGATCTCGACTTATTTTAACCGAAGTTTTTAATGGTCTTTAAGATCACCTGACAGGTGACAGTACGAGCTTACAGTCTTCAGTGCAACACTGGATGAACCGAGTGTGGTCCACACGATATTTTCAAGAAGTTTTGTGGTCAGAATTGATCACCGCTTCTTTCTATGCCCTCTTGTGCCTGATAATCATAATGCACATCGTTTCAAAATGAAAAAAAGGAATAGTAACCCATCTATAAAATTTCACTGGTATCGCAACTAAGATGCACTTGGTTTTCCTGCCGTTAAAAAGGATAATAACTTGAGTAACCCATTATAAAATTTCACTGGTATCGCAACTAAGATGCACTTGGTTTTCCTGCCGTTAAAAAGGATAATAACTTGCATCTTTCGTTTGTGTCGTCTTACGCACCTTGAATTTCTGCTTCAGAGACGTCATTTGAACTGTTATCAATGATACGGAGCAGTCTGACGATTTCTGCGCTCTTATCATCCGTTAATGTATGAAAAGCCATTACTATCAGCTGTTGCTCACCGTGTTCCCCGCTCCAGTTACTAAATATTCTAGTTGCTCAGTTTTTTTACCAAAGACATCTGTCTCTCAGTTGAACTTCCGCACCTGGAATTGTTTTTTATGCAAGGCACAATCAAGGGACTTTGGATTTACTTACACATCGTATGTGGCGATACGCCAGTGAACGAAGGAAGTAATAGAGCTGATCTTGTGTCTACACTGTTTTCAGTTAAACAGTTCCCGTCTTAATGCGGTTGTTTCAGCCAGCCAACACCCATGGGGTAAGTGCCGAACCCAAGTTTTGCTTTTTCAAAGCTGGCCGGCAAAGACTTTAATTGACCATATCAGCACCACTAACATACAAGGCTAGCTTATGGAGCCCGGGTACTTAAAGGTTCGACTTGGTTTATGGACTTTCAGCTGATACTGAGACTATGATAGAGTATTTCCCTGTTCATTATGTGTTTTCAGTCCAGCCAGCAAAACCAGCTGTTGGTACAGTTATGAAGAGTGAGAATCACTGTGGGCTGTTTATTCATGATGACGATATTGTCAGCACAGTCAAGGCCCGTTACCTAAGTGGCAGAGTGAAAAAGGTACACCCAAAAATCACTGATGGTTACGAAATCGAAAACGATGAATGAATCAGCCACTGGAATCTGGAACAAACAACTTTGTTACTACCCTTGTTCTTGAGTAGTGGTCCCTTATTAGATTTGAACACCTATGTGGTAGGTAATCCGTTTTAGCATGCGCCAATCTATTTATGTGTTAATTAGATCAAATGCCACACATAATCGAGCAAAGTGGGCTGCGCTTCGTTTCTGGAACTCGTAGTGATCCTAAAAAACGCAGAGTATCATAAATCTTTGAACAACATAAACTATGGGTGGACGGAAATATCATAAACGAAAGATTGAGCTGGGTTTTAGGTGAGTCTCCTGTCAAGGACAAATTAGTATGTAAATGATTTATATTTCGCTAGAAACCTAGCTGATTTGGTCTTTCTAGCAAGGATTTTGACTACGATATATTTGAGGCTGATAGATACCCCTGCAGTTCTCACAGGACTTTCCCTCGTCCATAGGGGCATCTGAAATGGCACAGAAATAGCCTAATCCACCAGGGATGGTTTATCATCCCATATTGGATAGAAAGACACAGAATGATGTAAGACAGGTTTTTTGAATTTTGATCAAAAGTAGTCCTAACTAACTTGGGGTCTTTTAGCTCTTTGGTGGCCTCATCAATCGCGTTAATTCACATTGGTTAGGAACCCGAATGGCGCCCAGTGTGAAATTTTTGTTTTCTGTGATGAATTAATCAAATAATGAGTGAGAGCTGTCGGTTGATTCCTAAATGTTTCCCTCGTAGTTCATCAGCAACTGACTATGGGCATCAAGAAACGCGTAATTTGATCATGCTTTTGGTACGGAACATGGCGGATGAACCAAAAAGTTGTGCGTGTTCTTCGGCGTTTGTAGTTGTCTCCAGAAATGATCGTTTCTGACCAACAACCCATACGGCTCATTCCAGTTGAGCAAGTGGCTTAGTGACGCAAGCTGAGAAAGGAAACATAGATCATACGTGGCCGGACAACTTTCTGAGGCATATGGATGGCTGTTTTGGAAGACCGGTCCTTGTGGCCTCCAACTGTCATCCGATTTTCGACGTGAGGACATGCTGTATGACCATGTTTGGCTTGAACCAAGACTTTTCGAATGAGATTAGATGAAGACGGGGAGGAGGTGATAAGTTGTTAGTCGGTTGGCTGCTGACTACAGCCGAGATTTAGCTATTATTTTTCACGTTCTCATGGTACACTACTTTGATAGGTTTTGTGAGTCGGACCTTGTGGTGGGTGACAAAATAGACTGTGAAACCTATGCAAGCAAAGACTTGACGTGAAACGCAGCTCTTCCTGGTGTCCTAATTGTAGGACCAACAGACTTTACCCAACAAGTGACCACAATAATGTAGTCTATTTGAAAACCAGTACAAACATCAGAAAACTAGCATATGATTCGGCTCGAAAAGCAATTCATTACGAATCTCGGTCTGAGAAGTGCTCATCGGTAGATTTATCTGGAACGGCCGCTTGCTGTTTTGGGCAAGGTTTTCCACCTAGTGCGATGAAGTTAATGATCACACTTGTGCACATGGCGAATATGTTGTGAAGTGATTTATTGTCTCAGGGAATGTGTTACAAAGTACGACCAATAGAGACCCCTTCGGGCGCTGAGAATATGTGTGAGACGTTCCGAGTTGATTGGAGGCAAGTGAATTACTTTCGCGGTTAGTGTTCGCGCAACACCGGTCCTTGTCCGGCCTTCCCATTTGGAGCATAAGTTTTTGTTATTTCAGTCACCAGTTTCCATCATGTAATCGTGGTTTTCTGAGTGGTTGGAATTTTCTCGCGCTCGTCGCCGAAGTTGTTCTTAAAAAAGCGCCCGATGAAAAAGTGGAAGCACGGATGGCAAGTGCGGGTAAATCCTTTGGAGAGCGTCTGAAACCATCTGTCGCACGATAGCATCTCTCAAGACGGAAGGTAAAATGTCTCTTGAGAGGATAGTCGGCACCAAGCAGGCCTGAGTTTTCACTTCAGCCACTATGGTACAACCGGTAGGACCCCACCCCAGGAGACCGAGGACCGAAGCGAGGAGTCCAGGTTTTTGAAAATGCTCAGGTTGTTGGTTGAGCACCATTCGCATATTGATACGTTAACTTACGTCATCAAGAAAGGCACGGACATTCCAGCAGCCCACATGAATTGCGTCTCCGATCGTTACCCTGATCACTGGGACAGAACCGCGGACACCACCAATCAGCAAAACCGAAACCTGGGATTATACAAGTCCTCAATGGTCCTAGGAGTGTTTAGGTAGCAGTCAAAACTTATTTTAAGGGCAAACTTCCCCGGTGTCTATAGTGTGTCGTTGCAGCCACTCACAATTTTCTCCTGATTATGGGGCCTTGGGGGTGTAAGCTTTTCAAACAATTGTTAGTGATATGTTGCCCATATAACGATTTAGCAAAAAGCCCTTTCTAATCCCAACTTTTCAACAAGGTCCCGAAACCCAAAGTGGCGACACAGCGCCGGTCGGCACAGACTGAGCTACTACGCCAGCAACATCGAAGCAATCCGGCCTTACGTTGCCTTCTGCTAAGATAAAGTGATGCTGTGCAATCAAGCGTTCGCCTGCATGCACGGTTGCCGAGCGACGGAAACCTGCTTGGGTCTTCTGACCAATCATGACGCCGGACTGAGCTGTACCTGCAAACGCGTCGATGCGACTACAAGGTCATGTGGGCTGCTACGCGCCGTTGCTCAGCCAATCGAATCGGGTATGTCTCACAGCCAGTCAGAAGCAGCGCTACTCGTGCATTTTTTCATCTTCGATCGTTGCGCGTGCTGTGCTTGTTGAGCCGTCCCGAAATGGGCACATTCGGTGGCCATGCTCTCCCTGGAAGCTTTTTCATCCTATTTAGTGTATGGGGTGTGTGGGACCTTTTAAGGAGGTTCTACCGTCGCCGGGCCTATGAACTTCACCTCAGCAGCACACCGGAGCCCAAGTACTATAATCGTGTGTCGTCCCCGCTAACTAGTGGCTGCAATGGTCGAGGATTGCCCCTTGATTCGATGCTAAAAGCCATTACGTGCCTTATAGGGATCACAGGTGAAGTTATCACAGGGTTCAAAGATGGAAAATTCGTGCACATTGGGAATATTCAGCACTGCACCATGTATTCGACATTCGCACTCAGTGGAATCATAGAAACCCTCATGTACTACGGCATAATCAAAACATCTATGTGAGTTCCAAATCCACTTTTGTTTAACAGTCTAGTCTTTATGTTGTGCTTGTGTACCTGGTACCACCTCCTGAACCACGCTAGGGAAGTCGTTCTCAACGTTGATAGTTGAAATCCGTTTGTAACATGTAAATAAATCCATTAGGAAGTTCTGTACTGCTTTATCCAAGGGCGTGAGCACTTCGTCCCTATTCGTGGTCTGTTGCTGCAGTGTACTGTGAAATATGGATGTGCAGGTTTCCAGTCAAGGCATTTTAGGATATTTTAGGCCCCAAGTACATCACAGACCGTTGAAACATTCAACAACTTATGACAATTGACGGACGGAGTTGTTGGTGTCGGCTTCAAAAGCGATCATGCTTTTCAGGAATTTTCGTCGTGTGAATTTCTTGAGGGTATTATGAAGTATAAGCGCCGAAATGAATCACCAAATGACTTATTAGATCAGTGATTACACTTGGGGTCAACCGAGTTAATTGCACAACCCCGAACTAACTACGTTGTTGAGTTTGTTTTCAATTTTTTCGATGGCCTTAGAATCTGTTCTGTGACATATTAACTGCTAACGTGGCTAAATGTGTTAGTTGGGCTCAGAGGATAGCCGGGAATAGATTATACACTGGCTATGAATTGAACCCATGATCTAACTTATTGTCGTTTTTGTGATGTCCCTACTCAGACAGGCCAAGGACTGTACATACTGGCAGTGTACTGGAATTCAGAAACCTTGGAAATGTGGTAACTTGTAACCTAGGGTTTGCGGGTGGATAGATCCATATCAGTTAGGTCACCAAACTATTTTGAGGGATATATAGGTTACCTTGGTACTCATTAAATTGGGAACTTCGCTCCACTCACAACTGTCACTGTGTCATCATACCCTTCCTATCCCGGACCCGTCCTCAAAACTCACACTTCCCCCAACAGCACACGTGAATTTTTCCTCGGTTGCAGCTAGGTCCCTCAAAGCGACTTGCTTTGACCCAGTAGGTCAAAAGACAGTAGCAAACGCAGACACGACCAAAACTAGCCTAAGCAACTGGCATGGCTGTTCATACGGCGCCCACATACGACGACTTATCAAGTTGTGCCCACCCAGAACCAATCCCCAGCGAATGGGTTGAACTCGTTCTTTCTACCTTCTGTGCTGCTGTTAGCGGCCTTTGTATCTGTACTATACTGCGTAATCACGCGACGGTAGGGACTGTTCAGCAAAGGGACTTTCCTAAGAATTTACCGGAAGCGTTTCACCTTGTGCCTGACCAGTGAATGCGTGGTTGATTACATTGCCGGTGTGGGTCGCATCATATTAAGACAAACCAAAGTCAGTGTTGGTGGCTTACTGGAATTCAGAAGGCTAAAGCGAAAGGAATGCGTTGGTCGGGTGCTTCCTGAGTAAACGTGGAGACATCATGGAAAAGAATAGGTTAACTAAGGTTGGATAATCGCAGCAAGAGAACCAGATTCAGTATTTCCCCAATAAGCAGCCTCGAAACGCCGTGAGTCTTTTCTGTCAATTACTACTCTGGGATACTCCCCGCTAAGCAACGTAGATTCTCAGACGCAACTGGATAAAGTGCCCCACAAAAAACCATGTAATGCCCTTTGATTGTCATCCCAGGTTGTTGTACTTTTCAAGGGACGAAAAAGGCAACCCGTGGTGATTTTTTCACACCCCCCGTAACGGACAATGAATTTACCAATCTCGAAGGCCATTGTCTGTTCGGGTTACCGTCGTTCGCAAACACTACTGTCAACATCGAATCCGGATGAAGCGATTTTTGGTTAGAAGTAAAGTTATTTCCATCCTATAAACAGTCGTCCTCTGTTTCATCTCTCTCATCTTTCTATTTCAAACCTATGGGTCCATCTCCTTCCTCCTGAGTTCCAGCAACCTGCTTTAGTGACAATACAACTTTGTGCATTTAGATACATCGTTGGAATGGACTTTATTCGATCACAAAGGTCGATGCGATAGACAACAATAAAAATGATCACGTGTTTGGTGTGTGACCACACTGTGACTCAGTCCCCATCATTTGCGCGATTTCATGTTGTTTTCCTGATGTCTCCGCTATGTTGTACGGACGTACCAAAGTAAAGTTGGAAGCAGCAAAGACTGAGGATCGGACACGTTACACTTCAGTTCCCTTTGCATGTGATCTCCAACGGCATTCTTTAAGTGCTATTCGGTTTGACACCATTCCTCAAACGCTACTGCAATCGTGCCGCGCCAGATTTTTAAACAGCAGTCTTTCGGGTCCACTGTTGGCTTCCTGGCGATTTTTACCAGCGTCTATGAGAAGGTGGCGACTTGGTGCGATCGAGTGCAACAGTCAGATTTGGCGTACGCACCCACCAGCTGCATGGTGTCGCCATAAGTACATGCTGATAAGTGTTGTCGCGATGACTACGACCTTGACCGAGAGCTCATCGATCCGCGCAACATTCTAGCGTTAACTTTCAGCTCACGTTTTTGAGGGTACAGCACTAAAAAGTTGTACGTTTGAAGCACAAACTAGATCCGCTTTGTTCTCTACCAAGTTAACTGTAGTGGTCAAGTAGGATCAAGTAGGATAAACAACTACAGATTGCTTCAAATTGCGCTACCCACCTTCATGAGCAAAACAGTGATTGAGCGATCAGTATGTACCTTTGTCGGACAGTATATGTGCAGGTTTGTTGTTTAATTTAGACAGCTTTGGGGTTCCTTTTTTTCCGTAGATCAATCCAGTGATGGTTGATCTTTACCCAACTATCCGTTCACTGCTAACTTAGCCGCTCCTCATACCCGCCAATTTCACTTCCATGATATTATTTACACAAAGGCGTTGGACGGTTTCACCTGCCTGAAAAACTAGCCACCATGCTGTGAATCTCACCAAAAGCTTACATTTAGTTCAAGTAGAACATAAGGTTGACGGAAACCCAGGGACCACGCCTACCTGATGAGCCCCAAGAAGGGCGAAACCGATTGTGGGCTGTCGATGGATTTTCAGCAACCTTATGAGTAGTGCATTACAAAGATACATTTATTTCCCTTCGTCATTACTCGTCTGGTTCCCGCTAAGAGAAGTTTGCGGGACCATCTACTAGCGCTCGATATTTATCTGCGTTTATTAGGACTATCCGTTTGGTCTTACCCTGTGCTCACCAAATGAGTGTGTTTATCTCTGGTCATCTTCCATAGTGTTGTTCACTAGCCCAAGAAACTAACTGGTCCCCTGTCCACCTGACGGTGGATAGAAATCGCGTGAAAACCATTCTTAGACACCCTACTACTTGTTTATCAGCGAGTAGATGCTGCGCTGTTATTCATCAAACCTACTTTCTAAGTTTTTGGAACTGGTTCCTGCCGTTTTGACGACTGTATCGGCTTGGAGCAAGGTTTAACGTTTGAACGTAGTGGTCACCTTGCTGGAAATGATCGGTGCCCAGCCTCTCGAAATATTTCTGCTGTATTTATCCACAGAATATGCGTCACCAAATGGTCTTAGACCAGTACTTTCTAGATATCTGAGGCCTATGGTCGGTTTTTTATCAGAGCATTTTAGTTGGATCATTAGTCGGCCTTTTGTCGAAGCTATGCTCAATTCACGAAGGTGCTTACAGCTATCGTTTTATATCTGTTTTCAGCAAGCATGGGGCCCTACTGCTCAGCAAAGAATGCATCCAAATGATATTGTGTATTATAAATCTTCCTAAGGAGAAGTACAATGACCATAGACCTCCGTCTCTGCAGTCGTCTGATGAGGTGCTTACATGAAACTGTACCCAGAATGTTGGGAACTTAAATTTCAAGGCTGCGAGGCCGTTTGGCTTCACGGCACCCATGTGCTACGAAGTATCACCGTTGGGAGCACCACACAAATGAAGATATTTCGAAATAAATTTTGGAATCATTCAGTCTGTTTCCAATAAGTGTTGTGTGACAATCAGCTTAACTTGTGTGTTTAGTAATGCTTGTTTATTTTAGCTCTCACGTGCACACTTCCTCTTCAAGGCTAGTGTGGCCTCATAGGTCACGCTAATTATCAGTTTCGTTTGAATATGTAGTCAGGTGGGTTTTCCGCAGACTAGAGATTTTTTGTGTCTGCAGCCTGATTGACCTAGCGTATCTAGTAACAGAGTTAGTAGGACTGAAAATATGTTTGTGGGGATGAAATTACCGCACAATCTAGCAATTTCCACCCAGTAGAGCTATAACACGACCCTCTGCTGCGGTTAGCTGCACCTTTAATTCCCCGTATTACTCGCAGACCTCGTATGTTGAGTTTCCACGACTAACACCCACGGTTCACTGTAAACTCTTGAAAGTGTCTGCTCAGATAGGGATTTCCAACTTACTTCCTTTTCAGACAGGTGGAATATGTGTTCAACTTTGTGGCGCTGCTTTCGGAAGGATTCCTTTTCTTATTCCATCTGCATGGACGAACTCCTTTGGATGTTTATTTACATATGTTGCTCCTCGGAATGATCTTGCTTACAATCATCAGTGGCTTCGCTGAAGTTTACATGAGAGATCAACCGATTTATGCAATCGTTCGCAATTGGTCAACTCTAGTTCAAGGCACGTGGTTCTGGCAGGTTTGTGACATTCGTGCTGATTTCCTCAGCTTTATCTCACGCTGACATTGTTGCACTGTTTCAAGTTTTTCCTCTCGTGAATTTGTGTTTATTGTGTTCCACTGAGGTAGGGCAGACAATCAACTTGAAAGGCATGAGGCCAGTTTAGTGACTGTGCACCCGAATGGCGGAAAACTCGTATCAGTAGCGATTTGAGTCTTTCGACGATTAACTATAGTAATCAGGCAGGTGATCGAAAATCACTGCCTCAGATTGAACAGTGTCTCGGTATGAACCATCATCTGGCAGTTTTCTTTTTGAGGTCAAATGTCACTAATGATATCAGAAGTAAAAGGAATGAGCTGATTTACTCTTTCATTGCCTGAGGTGGATGTGCTGAACTACAGTCTGTGTAAAAATCACGAGCGTCCCTGCAGTCATGCAAACGGTTAAATGAAAAACTAGCCGGGTGTAAACTTAGGGGAAATGTGAGGTTAGTTTGGTATTATGTCAACACATAGATTGCAGTCATCTCCGGTTTGGTGTGCATCAGACCGCGGCACATTCCACACCAACTCGTTGACTTGCTTGTTACAAATCCTCAAAGTACTTCATGTCGGGCTCTATAAAGTAGCTGATGCACTGACTACGCTTATTCCTTTCTCCAGACAGGTAGAGCCGCAGACCGTGTAGCTCAGGTGCGTTAATCCTCCATTTCGTCGTGACTCTTCCTGGTGGAGCAAGGTACCTTCCGCACGTTTCGTGCCTTTTTTATGTTTACGATGACTGTAGTTCGGAAGGACTTCCGAGAACGGTCGGCCTCTCTAGGATACCCACCATAGGGTCGTTTCTGACATGTAGTAGTTTGTAATCAACTTCACTTGTCTGAGACCTATTGTTTTCGGTCTTCGCTATGGCATTGGAGCACATATAGCATCATAGTCACCTGTGAAACTCAGTAGACACGTAAACCGAATGGGATGTCTTGGGGTCAGCTTCCATTGTAAAAGATTATGCCCACAACCGCCTATACCTTCCTCGACTATCTGAAAGTGATGTTTGAGATGCTGTCGGTTTTGGGTTGGACCTTGCTTAGAAGTGTTGCAGCAGAGTGACATATGCCCACAAGGAAAATATCAACCATATGTAACCGGCGTGGGGGCATCGCTAAATTTACCCCAGGGAAAAGCTTATATGGGCACTATAACATTACCACAAAACATCTCTTTCTTACAGTCCATCCGAAGTTCCGTATGGAGTCTAGAAGATAATGCCTAGTATTTTAGGCCCTCAGTTACTCCCAATATGTCTGTTTGCCTATCTAACCGGTATATTGGGTTAATGCCAACATTGAAGACGGGCAGTCTGTTGGAATCATTCGATGACAGTCATTTGAGAACTGGTGGTGGACTAATTTATTCCATGACTGTACTCACTAGATATAAGGCGGAACATTTACTCCCAAATTAGGACTCAAAATCTCATCTGACAGTATGGGAACCCATGAGACCGGCTTGTCATGCTCAAGTACGGCAAGCTTTCGAGACCTCCCGTTTGTGTGGCTCAAGACCAGATGACGAAATCTACGGCGTGTAGACATTTTTGCTACTCATGAGTAGTGAGAAATATATATTTACTAGTGGATCGGCTATTGGCCTTGGTGAGCGAGAGACAGACAACTTCTACATGATGCTAGCAGAAGCGCTGTCATTAAATATGAGCACTAAAGCATACAATGAAGATGTGAATGAGTGCATGCAATAGCATTAACAAAAAAAACTTTGACGCTGGCACTGACCTTGAAGCGCGGCCCGAACATTTGATTCAAACATTTCGGTCCAAAGAGCCCAGAAAGCACCACCATCTCAGTGAGAGATTACGAAGTGCTTTCATGCTGTCTACCTTACAATGATCATTCGCTCAATGACCCAATAGTTGAATCCGAAAAATGAGAACTCATTTGCTATGTGATATGTTCCTTAAAAGTTGTCTACCAACCACCTCTGGTTTGCGGTCAGGCTCTTGAGCCCACAGCTTTGTTTGAATATTTTGATCGCCCTCCCCTCCAGATTTTAGCGCTCTGAGTGTATCTCAGCATACATGAACCAGAAACTATATGAATACGAATGATTTGACGCCACATGAGTCGTCGTGTGGGGCCATCAGCTTGTCCATCCTGCTTGTTGCGTATAGTAAGGCCCCTCCTTTCGAACACAGCGTAAGTCAGCCAGGATGGCTGTTAAACTTGAGATCAAGGATAGTCTGGGTGTGAATAGAGAAAATTAGTGAAAATATTTTTGAGTGTTGGCAGCTGTGGCGGGTTTATCAGCTGTCGATCAGATGGCAGCTGATCCACTCGCCGAGCTTGACTGTTGGTCTGCAACCTTTTCATTCTCATGTAAAGAGACGATCGTGCGCTGACGATGTCTCAACTGCCATCGGATCAACCGTCAAGAATACTGGTGGAATCAGAGAGCTTTAGAAATGAAGGAAGTTATTGCCAGCTTGGAATGCCTGGGAATATGTTCACCCCTTGCCCAAAACGGAACCGATTAAATCGGCTGTTAAGTGAGATTGTCAAGAATAATAGTGGAAATTGGTTATGCAACAGGAGCCGATACCTTGATCGATTGGCTGTGTGTCTGAACAACAGTTTAGTCGACCCTGTTTCCCGCCACACGTGCCTTTTATCCAAACCACTCAACTGGAGCTGCCGTCTGTGAGTTTAGGCCCACCCTTAGTTTTTGCAGTATTAATGTGCCTTTCTGGCATGAAGCGCCATTAGGCCTCAGGGCTGGATGAGATCCCACCAGCGTTGCTTAAAACTGGTGATAAGTCTTTGTGTTTTGTCTTGGTCAGGTTGTTTAAATTAGTCTAGGAATTAGAATGCGTTCCAACAGTCTGCGACCAGTCAATGAGTGTGCCCTTCTTCGGAAAAGGTACCTGAAGTGACTGGTGCAATCATGCGGAAGCCATTCCATCAATAAACACGACCACCAACTCATATGATACCGTGGGGTCGGACCCCATCAAGGAGCTGCAAGTTCGAGAGCACCAGGCAGGACTTCTGCCATGTACCGGGTGCATTAACATCGTCACATCACATCGAATGCTTGAGTAGCATCAGATATGGAGCCGACAGATTGTAGCGGTTATCTTTGACCTCAAAGGAGCCTTCTGCTCCGTGGATAATTAGACTTTCTACGTATCCAATGAAGGCTTTGTCTTGCAATTAAAGTCGGCCTATTCTCAAAACCCGAGAGGCACTGTACGGCTGTTGCAGCTGTATTGAGAGATATCAGCAGTGCGCATCCCACAAAACTCCGTAACTTCCAGGCGGGTTATTTGAACACTTGACCGTTCTACATATACTGTTTCTACATACACTTGGCCAACGATGAATGTTCTTGAGGTTTGTTGATATTCTTCGAGCCATTTAGTCAATGTTACCCAAAATTCTTCCATAACGAGTGGAGTTCCTCAGGGTCTCTCTCTCACCATTTTACTCAACTTTGTAGCTGACACCATCCTGGAGTATACTATCCTCAGGGCGGTGAATCGATATCACGTCTTGAGAAAAATGCCCGTATACGTAGATTATGTGCGTGACACTGTTGTTCTACAATACCCGAAGCGGTCCCGTGTTTCTCTATGCAGTTTGCACCTTAAGAATGCAATGTATTACTTCAGAATTTCCCACTCCACGCGTACCCCTTTGAAGCTGCAGAACGGGAACCTAGTTTTGTTGATAGATCCACTTATCCTGACTGTTTCACTGTCACGGATGAAGTCATCGCACGTACCACCAAGGCATGAGTAATATTTGCCAACTTGGACCGCGTCAGTAACGAATATCGCTGATGTTTAAGGGCCGTGTCTACGAGAGAATAATCTGAGCAGTTCCAACTTACAGCTGTGGAACATGGCCTCTGATCTTATCACTCCAAATCCACCTTAGCAAAAGGTTTGCGGGAACAGGTTAGGACATCACAACACGAAACGAAAGCAGCTACTGTCAGTTTGGGCGCTATAGGATCTTCGCGCCTTCCCTAATAAAGTGCACGTGATTCTCCGTGTGTCTGGTTGGAAACCCCACATGACAGCACGTGACCGATCTCAGTAGCAAGCTTACTGTCACATGTAAAGACGTAATACACTACTCACAAGGTTGCTGTCACGTCATAGCCAGACTGCCTGGGTAACACTTGTATGATGTGACATACTGGACTCGCAAAGAACTTTGCGTCAGTCTCGCTGACGGTCTCTGGTTCCAACCGGACAGCCAGATGTGCATATTTTGATGTCTTTGGAAAGTTTCGGCACCTTGCTGCTGGCCGTTTTCTTTAGGAAGATAGAACTTTTTGCGCTAAGTTCCTGTGCTCCCCATTCCTTTTGTCGTTTATTAAGGCTTCCTTCCTCCATAGTTTTTTGACAGTTAAGTGCTATGGTTCTTTGAGGATGATGATTCAACCACACAGAATAATTGCTCTGGGACGAGTGGAGGACCGCTCAAATTCTACAACTCCGTATCCATCTAAAACCAATATAAATAAATGATGTATTTTCGGTTCAACATTCTTAATAAGCCCTTGCAGGAACACAGAATCTCTTCCGCACTATCTGACCAATTTCTCCTAAGCATATAGGAAGGTTGAAAAACGAGCCATCCGTCCGGCGATAAAACTCAGTTGATAGTTGATGTAATCCTTAAGTTAGCCAGATAGTCAGGATGACTACCAACTGCATTGGTCATTTGCCGTAAGGCTAAAACCCCACAAGAGCAGCAGCATGCAAAAGGATGAATTCACGTGCTAGTCAATCAGTTTGCAAAGAATGTTTGTCCGTTCAACCCAGACCGTCCATCATCCTCAGTTATGGCGACGTGTGGATGGGCAATGAGTAGTGAGGCATCTGTCCCTCACACGAAATCCGGAATAACCGATTGCTCGGTTAGCAACAGAAGTGGGTCACCTTCGTGACCTATCTAGTCCATCCTTATTCTTTTTGAGCATTTCGAATCCCTCACTGCTAACATTAGTGCAAGCATGATGATCAGCGTATCCTACACGGCCGAATTTGTGCAAACGGAAAGTATTGATCAGGAAATGTATCCACCTTGGGGTAAAACTGAGTGCCTGCAAAGTGCTTTCATCTTTTCACTGTTCGTTTTCACGCGCTTTTCTTGAGTCCGCGCAGACAAAAGCGAGTGAAGTGGTAACGCTTCGCAACTTATGTCTTCTTGCTGTGATAATGGAGTGACAGATTGGGTACGTCCTCACCTGATAGATAGTCGGTGAGGAACGAAAACGAATCTGATATTGGAGTGTCCACAAGTGATTATATCCAGAGCCGAGCGCTTCCAGGACGAACTTATTCGGGTGCTCAAGCGGCTGTCACACTTGTTGGTTTGTTACTTCAAGATTTCTAACACGTTACAGTATCCATTTGGTGTCGAATAACCGAAATCGTTCTCCTCTCATTTGGTTGCGGTGTAATACTCAACGAAAACAGTGTCCCAAAATCCACATTCACTCTCCACGTTTCCTGTCCAGGTTCTCGTCGGCTTCCAATCATTTTTAATTTTGGCTTTATTTTCACTGTCACAACATTTTCACGAGCTAATTTTCTCCCCTCAACAGGTCGGTGCGATTCTTTACCCGGTTGCCAGCTGGATGCCAGTTTGGGATGGGATGAGAAAGGAGAGTATTCCGGCAGCTGCAAACCTGTTTTGCTATCATCTTTTGGTGGACTTCGTTGGGATTGTTTTGCTTGCCTCCGTGATGAGTCTCCGGCTGGGTAGAATTAATTTTCGAGCAGCAGCAAAACCGTTTCATACACAGCACCCGGAGCATACCATTGAGGATTTGTCCGCGGATATGAGTACTGAACTGACTCTTTATGCAGCGTCCAGAGAAGCGGAAGAGTCCAGCACAATGCTCAACAGTGTTCACAGCTGAGGCTCGAAGTACCTGGTCGAACAGACTGTGGGGATTTCCAGTTTTTTCACTACACCTGTTTCACCTTTCTCTCTGTTAAATTTACTACTTGTCGCTCTGCCTAATAATGTTTTGCACACTTCTGTCATAAACAACAGAACTCATGGAGATTCAAGCCTAGAGACCAAAACACATTCTTTCGCGTGCACATTGGCTTCACAAGTTTCTTGCTTTCACCTCTGAATCAAGTTGTAGTTGGTGTTGTTT